CTTACATAGTAGTGTTTTTCTTAAGGCTTTTTTCAACATATCGTTAGTTTTTGTTAACCTACACCCCACCCCTTCTCTCTCCCAGAAATTATAAATATTCCTTTTAAAAATGTTTCTGGACTGAAGAGATGGGTCAGTGGCTAAGAGCACTCGTGGCTCTTCCAGAGGCCCCTGGTTTGCTTTCCAGCACCACATGGTGACTTATAACCATTCGTAACTCTAGTCGGAGAGGATCTGATGCCCTCTTCTGACCCCCACAAGCACCAAGTACACACGGCACACAAACATACATGCATGTAAAACACTCAGATAGGTAAAATACATAAATCTAAAAATATTTATTTTTTTAAAAGAGCAGAGCCGGGCAGTGGTGGCAAACCTCTTTAATCCCAGCACTCGGGAGGCAGAGGCAGGCGGATCTCTGTGAGTTTGAGACCAGCCTGGTCTACAAGAGCTAGTTTCAGGACAGGCACCAAAAACTACAGAGAAACCCTGTCTCGAAAATCCAAAATAATAATAATAATAATAATAATAATAATATAAAATAAAAAAGAAGTTTCCTTTAATTATGATGATTCTTACTTTTTTTAAATTGATGTCTGAAACTAGAATTGCCTCAATTTTGTCTTCCATCCCTGCCATTCCTGATATTTGTTCTTCTGCTTCATCTTGTTTATATGTAATACTTTCTTTCCCCTGTGGCTTTTAATTTATTGATTTTTTTTTTGTTTTGTTTTCTGAGACAGGATTTCTCTGTGTAACAGTCCTGACTGTCCTGAAACTCGCTCTATAGACCAGGCTAGCTTTTGAACTCTCAGATCCACCTGCCTCTGCCTCCCGAGTGCTGGGATTAAAGGCGTGCGCCACCACAGCCAGGCTTAAATTTTGTTTATGTGCATGTATCTATGTGAGTGTGCTGCAGGTGTGTGGGTGCTCACAGAGGCCAGAAGATGGCACCAGATCCCCTGGAGCTAGAGTCAGGCAGCGTGAGCCGCTTGTGGGTGCTGGAACTGAATGAACCCAAGCTCAGCGTCTCCTTTGGAAGAGCCACATACGCTCTTTAATAGGTTTTCTGTACCCCGAGAATCAAGCAGAATTGAAAAGGTAAAAGAACAGGTTTATTTTGAGCAAAGTAACTCCCAGTGAGTCCTCTAGCCCCCAAGATCCGATGCGAGAGATCAAGGCAGGAGAAGTCACACACTCAAACTAAAGCAGGAAGATGATATAGCTTGTAGGTGAGGGGTGATGACGTGTCCACCACAAGCTGGGTTTGTGCCCAAGTATGGTCAAAAGCTGAGGGCTTTAGGTGGGGACTTGGACTGCTGGCTACTTCAGGGAGGAGCTGCTGTAGACACCAAGAATGTGGAACTGAGTTTTTTGGAGCCTTCCCTTTGTTGGAGATTCTCTGAGAGGGTGGGGTTTGGAGAGAGGAATGAGGTTTTCACAGGAGCAAGCTGGAAATTCCAGCTGAACACTCTTAACTGTTGATTTTCATTCTCGGTACATCTGTTCACTTTTCTTCTTAAAAAGCTTAGTTGTCATGTTGAATTTCATCTATTGCTGACTTTCTCATTAAAACAACCAAATTTCTTCTCTGGGTCCTGCATTGATTTCCTTACTTCTTCTTCCCCGCCCCCCAAGACAGGGTTTTTTTTTTTTCTGTGGCTTTGGAGCCTGTCCTGGCTCTTGTAGACCAGGCCTTGAATTCACAGAGATCCGCCTGCCTCTGCCTCTGCCTCTGTCTCCCAAGTGCTGGGATTAAAGGCGTGCGCCACCACTGCCTGGCAACTTCTTTCATTACTTACTTAATCTTGAGTCATTGACAATTTTTCCAAGTACACTTTTGAATTCTTTGTCTAGCATTTCAATCATTTTAGTTTCTTTGGATTCAGCAATTGAAGAATCATGATCTTTGGAGGAGCCATATAGTCTTGATTTTGTGTGTGTTTCTGTGCTGTGATTTGCCTATCTCTCAGCTTTGTTTGGAGATCTCAGTGCACAGCCTTCTCTTGACAGCACAATTCCCATTACTGCTCAATGAATGAAATCACTGTAACGACTACAGAACCAACACACGGATACAGTAATAAACTCTGATTAGTGCCAACTGCCATACCACAATGGCGCACCAAATGGCAACAATAATACAGAGAAGCTGTGAACTACAAATAAGAATGGAGAAAAATGGTATAAATGACAAAAAAGCACAATGTTAAAAAAATCTGGTTGCACAATGAACCAAAAAAGGAATAAATGGAGTTAGGCAAATATAAGAGACTAGAAAATAAAAAAAAGTCAAAATATTACTAAAGCATAATAAAGGGGAAATGGGAAAACATAAAGTGTAAAACTAAGAAAAAAAGTATCAGAAAAATAACAGTTTCCCAGCAGTCTATTATTATTATTATTATTATTATTATTATTATTATTATTATTACTGGAGCCTTTAATAGTGTAGTCTGAAAGATGGGCAGGACGGTCTGTCAAACTTGGAGTTTCCTTTCTTTCCCAACACACACACACACACCCCTTGTGCTTGTGAATAACATTCATAGTCTTAGTCCTGTAAATAATGTAAGTGTTTGATTCAAATTATTAAAGTAGGTTACTGGGGGCGATAAAGTTTGTTTGCATGTATGACAGGAGTATGGGAGGGTGGAGGGGTTGGGTTAGGGAAGGAAAGCTTCCTACATATTCCATGCGACTAAATCAATTGGTCGGTATAAAGTGTCAATAGCGGGAGGGAGCTGAAGTTTGATCTTAAAGTGATTGCACATTAGCCACAGATCACAGATGCTGATGGACGTTATGAGATTTCTGGGTCAGGACTATATGTTTTCCTCCTAGAAAAGGGGTTGCCTACAGCTGCCTGAAAACACAGATTACAATTCATGACAGTAGAAAAATTACAGTTATGAAGCAGCAACAAAAATAATTTTATGGTTGGGATCACCACAACATGAGGAACTGTATGTACTAAAGGGTTTCAGCGTTAGGAATGTTGAGAACCACTACTCTAGAGCAACAAGCTTCCTGTTCACATTGGCTTTCCCCCGTCCCCAATCCCTCGGTGATGATGCAAGTCAGTTCAGCTGGATGTTGCACAAGCAGAAGGTTTGCATCATAGCAGAAGAATACGTGGATGAGAAAACCCTGGTCTTGTGCTGGGCTTCAGTGGTGGGATGCTTGCCTAGCACGTGTTAAGGCCCTAGGTTCAAGCTCTAAGCCTTGCAAAAAGCAACAAAACCAAACGTTTTATAATGGGCTGCAAACAAACCCACCTAACTTTTGTTCAAGAACACATTGTATTTGTTTGACATTAAACTCCTTAAATTCTCATCTGTTTAGCTTTTCCCTGGGAGGAATCAAAACGGTTCCTACATTTGCAGATCGCAAATACTTGACTGTACCAGGAAAGAGAGGCGGCCTCGGTCTGCCTTTGGGGGTTCATCGGTTCTGGCTGGACGCGATGCCTATTTCTAAAAGTTACCAGCGGAAATGGTTATGTGGTGACACTTAGGTGGGAGGGAAAAGTGCTGAGATACAGACGATACACACGCTCATGTTTGGACCTCCATTAGCACAAATAAACAGTGTGTAGAGATTATTCATGCATTGGCTCACATAAACACGGCACTTACGGATCTGCATAAACTAAACTACAGCTCCGAGGGAGTCAAGCCGGTCTTCACCGACAGCTCCTGCCTTTCTGTGTCCTCCACCCCTACTTTCGGCCTCATTCACTTCCACGGCGGACAGGCCAGGTGATGGTACAGTAACTATGTCCACCAGTATAAAACGCCTCTCCCCAACCCCACTGTTCTGCATTCATTTATCACTTTCAGGAGAGGGTTCCATAAAGCCCTGTTTGGTCAGTGCCTATTCCTTGGCCAAATCAGCGCTGCCAGCGGGAAGGAATATTTTAATTGGCATTCTTTCACAAGGCCATCTCCTCACGGAGGCTATTTTACTGCTACAGGGGCTCTGGGAAGGTTCCTCTGGAACCTTCTGTACAAGGGAGAGAGCTGTCATATTTGAGGGAAGATGGCTTGGGAGCACAGTACACGAAGGAACAGAGATCAGTTTGAATCGGTAATGTAGTTCTAGAATGGGGCTCTTGGGAATGGCAGTGACCGTGAAGAATCATCCACTAGACAGCCCATCTCCCTTCTGACTGCCAATATCATAAAACCAGAAGACTTCAAAAGACTACTGTTTTTCACAGTTTCGGTAGGCTCCAGAGAACACTCCTTTAGCCTTCGTGAGGGTCTTCTGGAGGACATTCAGCTGCTTCCATTTGCCAGCTGAACGAGATGCTATGCGGCTTTAACTCGGGCGCTGATTGCTAAGTGCTGAGGCATGAGGGTGGGAGAGAGCCAACCAGCACCCACTTCAGAGATCCTGCGGACTGCCCCGCACAGGCCCCACAAGCTTCGTCCCTCCAATCCCCCGGCAGGAACTCTGCAAACGAAGATCCCCACCCAGAGAAAGCCAGCAAGGTGCTCCGCCCAGAGGCGGGGTGGGTCGGCAGCCCAGGCTGGTTTAACTGGTTGGAACCACCAAAGTACGCAGTCGCAGAAAAAAAAAAAGTGTCACTTTAGGAAGCCGAGGACGTCAGGCCACAGCTCGAGGAGGAAAGCAGAGCGCGGCAGGGTTCCTACACTGCTGGGATTCGCTCCGGTAGGTGTGCGTTCCGCTCGGTCCCCAGGACACTGCGCAAGCGCCTGCAGAGCTCTAGCGCTTGGCACGTCCTCTCGCGGGGTCCCCAGTCTCCCCAGCGAGTTCCAGCCCCTGGAAGCACGGGGCTTTCTGGGTGTTGTGGTTTATGTCCGAGGCCCTGCGGCGGGGTGTCGGGGTTACTAGAACTACAACTCCCGGCGTGCTCCACGCGAGGGCAAGGGGCGTCTGCCCTGGACGGCCTTAGCCGTCAAGAGCCAAGAATCCGAGGACCCGGGAAGCCGGCTGCGGCGGGAGGTGGGAGTGCGCGTGCGCCCTGGGCCGGCCCCGTCCTGTTCTGTCCCAATCATTGTAAACAGGCGGAGGCTGGGCGGGGTGGGAATGGGGCTCCCGCGGCCGGCCAGGGGGAAAGCGCAGGAGGCGGCGGTCGTGGCGGCCGCGTGAGTGCGAGGAGGCGGCGGCTGCAGCGGAGCCGACGGTCGCTGGGCGGCAGGCACTGGTCAGTGGCGGGGAGCGGTCGCTTGCGGGGGTCGCGGCGCTGCGGCGCGGTGCCCGTGCGAGCCGTCGTCTGGCGCCCGGCCTCGCGCCCGCGCCTGTCAGGCGGCATGCTGGGCTTGGGATCCCGGGCTCGGAATTGGAGTTGGGGGTGGGGGGCGTGGCTGCCGCGCCTTCTGTTCTCCGGGAAGGCTCCCCCGCACCCCCCACGCTTGCTCTTTTCGGCGTGGGTCACGCTGCCTGCCCGAGAGGCCTCCCCGAGTGCTCCCGGCTCTGTCCTGTGCTGCTCCCGGAGCCGGGGACGATCCGGGAACCCAGCAGGTTTCTCGGAGCTTCCAGGCCGCGGGGCATCTGTGCGAGCCACACCTGGCCGGAGCAGCGCTGGGGGCCTGGCCTGGCCTTCCCCAGCCTTCCGGCTTGCGAGTCGCACCTGGCTGCCCACCTGTCCCCGCGGTGGAGTCCGGGAGCAGCTCCAGCTGTTGCCCGCGGCCGGTGTGGGCCGGGGGCGGGGGGCGCTCCTGTTTGCAGAGGTCCTTGTTTTGGGTTTCAATGGCAGTGGACGGCCAGAGCTGGAGTTCAGAACTCCATACTCCAGGCACTTTTCAAGCGTTTTTGTGCCAGCTTTCTTTTTCGTCTTTTAAATATGTCGTTGGGAGACAGGTTGGACCAAATTTTCCACTTCCCAGTCTTCTGAAGTAGTGCTGGTTCAAGTTTGGAGATTATCTCAAGCGTTCTTCCGGAGAGAGCAGCTTGCGCACCCTGAGGTTTGGTGTGGTTCTTGCGGATCCCTGACGTTTCCGTTGGTGGTCTCTACTTGTGACAGAAGTGCTCCCATGTGGACGATGAGCTGCTGCCCCCCCCCCCCCCCCCAGCCTTTGGCTTTAATGGGTCTGGGCTAATGCTGTGTGCTTTGGGTAGCCTTCCATGATACTTGGCAGTCATTCACAACACATTGAAGTGATAAGGAACGGGCTCACTTTTGGTGTAGTGTTCAGGTTGCCGGCACTTGTAAAAGAAGGAACAAGACCGTGAATGAAAAAGGTCACGCACTTTCTGTGGTAGGAATTAACTTGGTCATGTCAAGACCCTGTGTATCGTCCCCGAAATGAGTAATTTTCGGGCAGTATTATTAGGGGTTAGAATGGTTCCCACTTTTCAGAGTATCTCATAGATCCAAGAGAGACAGATTCAATAGTAGCTGCTGTTAAATAAGTTTTAAAACAAAGTATCTAGACCCAAGGTAAGGTAACTGAATTTGCTGTCTTTACAAAGGTGGCTTCTCATCGTAGAATTCCCAGGGTCCATTTTCTCCGTAGTTTAGGAAGATAGAAGTGGTATTTTAAAGAGTGTGCATTGGGACTGGAGACGTGGCTCGCTGGGTAAGAGGCTTGCTGCTTTTGGAGTATGTCGGGGTTCCGTTCAGGCTGCTCCACACAAGGACTTACTGCCTGTAAGTCCAGTTCCCAAAGAAATCGTGACAGCTCTAGCTCTGGTCTCCACAGGTAATTGCACACCTCCCCAAGGATTGAAATCTGAAGAAGGAAATACTTTTTTTGTATAATTAATTTGCACAATTGATTGCTTGACAAGGGAGATTAGTCCAGAACACTGTCCCAAAGTGTGTCCTGTTGTTTTCTTTATTGCAGGGAGGTTCAGGATCTCACTGTGTAACCCTGGCTGTCCAGGAACCTCCCTAAAACCAGGCTGGCCCTCTAACTCAGATCTCCTTGCTTCTGGCTTCCAAGTGCTGGTATTAAAGGCATGTGCCACCTTGTCTAGCCGTTATTTTCTTTTAAAAAGAAAGCCCCTGCTAGAACTTTTGCTAGTATATGTAAGACAGAACATGGGAAAAATGCAGATTTCTTAGAATAGAAGAGTTATGATGTTTAGGGCCTCTTCCAAATGAAGAGGACTTGAAGATGGGTAAGCCCACCTGCTCTCAGATGGTCAAGTGTATCTCTTGAATTGTCAACAAGTAATACATATGTATGTATAAAATACATTGTTTATACACTCATGTATAGATACATGCTGGGGATTGAACCCAGGGCCTTGGACACATTAGGAAAGCATTTAACCACTGCGCTGCAACACTCAACCTACAAACTAGCATGTTTCTAAGATTGCTTTCTAGAAAATGTGAGGGTTTTGTGAATGTATCCAGGAGGTAATCTGTTTCTTAAGGGAGAAGCCATGGAAGAGGGCAGTAGTTAGAAAAGAGCCACACATAAACACCAGTGAAAGCACAGGCTGGGAATGCTCAGGGGAAGAGATCTAACGCTTTAGACAGCCATAGGAATGATGGGCACTTACACAGGGAGTAGTGTAAGCAAAAGTGTGTAAAACTAACTACATCTGCAAGATGTGTGTGTGTGTGTGGTGTGTATCTCGAGTATAGCTGGGTACTGAGACATGAAACTGGGGAGGTCGTCTGTATACCATCGAAGCTATTTCAGCTTCGTCCTGCAAGGAAGTAGCAGTCCTTGAGCCTGAACAGAGACAGGAAGGGGATGGGGTGGGAGAAGCAGACTGGCCAACCTATGCCAGTCCAATCAGTGTTCAATCCTCTGTTATAAATGGTATATCCTTATGGATCCAGCAGAATTAATTAGAAAAGGGACTTAAGGCTGAGGGTGAACAGAGACATGCAGGAACCATGGGCACTTTTTGGAACATCACAGACAGGTGAGTCGACAGCTGTAGCATCGGTTGTGGACAAGGGAGCGAAGATGAGGATGTATTAATAAATCTTCAAAAATTGTATGTCATGCCAAGGATTTTAGTGCCGACCCCCATAGGTTTACATACAATAAATACAAAATAATGCAGTGTTTTTGTTTGTTCTTTTTTGTTTGTTTGTTTGTTTTTCGAGACAGGGTTTCTCTGGTTTTGGAGCCTGTCCTGGAACTAGCTCCTGTAGACCAGGCTGGTCTCGAACTCACAGAGATCCGCCTACCTCTACCTCCCAAGTGCTGGGATTAAAGGCATGCGCCACCACCGCCCCTCAGTGTTTTTATTTTAGAAAGATCCTAGAATTGTAGAATGTAGATGTCAGAGCATGGAGGCTGTGTAAAATTGAGTGCAGAAAAGCTTTAGAAAGTCTTTGTTCTCGTCAGTAACTGAAGTGAGAAATAGGGTCTAAAACTATTGCAGCCTCAGGATACAGATAGCAGAAATACTTAGAGAATACAATGAATAGGATTAGCAAAAATTGGTATTGGAAAGTGAGGATGAAATAACTGGATACAATGACTTTGATTTCATCCTGGGTCCTTGAGAAAGCAGTGATAAGATACACTGAGACAGAATTCAGGAAGGGGAGTAAATTTGAGAGGAACTCAATGTTGGCTTCTGGCATATTGAGTAGATGTTATTTGTGAACCTCTAGGTAATATCTGCTTCAGAGTTTTCCGTGTGTGTGTGTGTGTGTGTGTGTGTGTGTGTGTGATGAGCTGTCAGCACACTGTATCGTCTTTTTAGTTGTAAGTCCTTAGCAGTTGAGCCTGTGTGTGTGTGTACGTGTGATTAGTGGTCAGCACACTGTATTGTCATTTTAGTTGTGAGTCTTTAACAGTTGAGCTAAAGTCTCTCCAGTCTCATCACAGTATATTGTAAGTGGTAGCTGAAGCCTTGATTTAGGGACCACCACACAGGAAGAGTTTGCTGACAGCCAGCGGTTCTAGAAATAGGCCGCAGAGGACCTTTAAATTCAGACAGAGGAGGGTGTGTTGGAAAGTGATATTCAAAAATGGTTTGTTAGCCAGGTGGTGGTGGCGCACACTTTTAATGTATTTGGGAGACAGATGTATTTGGGAGGTTGGTGGATCTCTGTGATTCCAGGCCAGCCTGGTCTACAGAACAAGTTTTAGAATAGCCAGGACCACACAGAGAAATCCTGTCTTGAAAAACCAAAGACAAAAAAGGTTGATGTTGAGGCATCATGAGAACTCAAAATAGGGTCTTGTCTTTTCTTCTTTCTTTCTTTTCATTTCCCTTCCTTCCTTCCTTCCTTCCTTCTCTTGAGATTGGGTCTCATTCTGTAGTCCAGCTAGCCTTGACCTCAGAAGGAGTATTCCTTCTGCCTCAGCTGTCTAAATGCTGGGCTGGAAGGTATGAGTCACTGAGTCCCCTTGCTAGGACTCATTTTTAGAGAAGGCTACTATCTTCACAAATACAGAAAAGAAAGAGAAAAGCCCACCCAGATGTGACATTGGTACCTGTAATCCCAGGGAGACTGGCAGGAAGTTCACGACCAGAGAGAAAGACCTAGCTCAAAATACAAATGGGGACATCAGCACCGGGGTGGGGAGGTGGGGAGAAAAAGCCGTACTTGAAATTCCCTGAGGAGGGGCTAGAGAGATGACTCGGCAGATAGGAGCTCTCACTGCTATTTCAGGGACCTGAGGTCCATTCCCAGCACCCATATTGAGTTTTTCATAGCTGCCCAAAACCGCAGCTCCTGAGGGAACCAACACTAACCCCACATTTTATTTATTTATTTATTTATTTATTTATTTATTTATTTTTTAATCTGTCTGTCTATCTATAGACAGGGTCTTTCTATGTAATCTTGGCTGTCCTGGAACTCACAGTATAGACCAGGCTGGTCTTGAACTCAAAAAGAGTCCCCTGAGTGCTGGGATTAAAGGTACATAATTAAAAAATAAGGAAAATAAATCTTTAATTGCTCTGAGTAGTTGATCAGAATAAGATTTTCAGAATCTTTTGAATTTGATAAAGATTCTTAGGAGTGTGTTGGATTAAATTTGTGATGGTTTGGTAGGATGGTTAAGGAAGAAACTCATGTTCATTAAGAGGTCAGAGTAGAGAAAGCAGAGTGAGCCCTCCCCCCAGCACTCACCTTCCCGTCTTTTCTTTTTGTGAAAGGGTCTTACTCCTGTTTATGCTCCCCTGGACTCATAGTCCTGTCTTGGCCTCCTGCTTGCTGGAGTAACAGGCATGTATGTTATTTGTGAGAAGTGTAAAAGGGTTGGTAGCCGAAGG